AATGCTTCCCTGATGTGATAGAAGGTGATCCCAGGACCCCAAAATTTCTTTTATCAGGGAAGAAAATCAAAAAAGGTACAGGTCTCACTTGTCTCCGACCCTCAGAAATGACATTTGATTTATCCGTGGGAGGATCCAGGGTCACGTGTACTGTAGAAAAATTACAGGGTTGGGTGAGGAATCTGACATACTTTATGTGTGACATTGTAAGGCAGATATTGAGAATAAAGTGAGAGGGAAATGGGAAGCATTTGATTTGGTTCCTGAGGAGCAGTACTCACTGCAGGAATATAATATGTATGTGTGAGGTGGGAGGGAAACACGGGTCTTTATACTAGAGACCTAGAAGAAAATGCAAAATTCTAAAAGAAAATGAGGACAAGGTGACTTTGTGATATTGTGATTTCTCCTTACCCCAATAGCGTCGCACATCTGTGAGTTCTGAAATTAGAAAAATCCATAACATCAAATATAGGCAAAATGTTCTGCATCAACATCTATTTTCTCTCCATATCAGGGAAAGACTGGGGTTTATGTAAGTTAGTACATGGAATAGGGGTGAACAAGACAATTGACCACTCCCCATTGAATATGCTCTTATAACCAGCATGTAATATTCGTCTTCCTTTTTCTCTTCTAGCTACACCTAAAACCTGAACTTTAACCCCAACCATAACAACAATCTCACAGCCACCCATTGCTCTGGCATTCCTCACCATTAAACACTTGTAGCATCCCTCCCAGGTCAGGAGCTTGGAGCACTCTCCTTTGCTTCATGGGGAGAGTTTTTGGCTTCTTCAGAGTGAAGGTCATACTCCTAGAGACAACAAAATAGATGAACACACCTCTGAATTTTTGTCTCTCCAAAACCACTGACTTTATCTACTCACCCCAAGGAGTACTTGAGCCCCCATTCATGGACCCCTGAGATAGGACAGAGTAGACTTCTGACCTTGGCATCAGAAGAAATGTGCTCAATCCACTTTCCCAGTTGACTGCTGTCTGCCCTTGGAAAGGCATTGACCTCTCAGAAGTAGTTTATTCCTTTCACAATGATAACTATCCTCTCCCTTTCTAACTCCTAAAAATCATATGAAATTATGTGCCATAGTGAATTTCTTTAAAATGAAAAATTTGATACCTTGAAATAAATTAGTATAAGGAAAAGTCGTGACATGGATGTAGATTCCCAGCAATATGACAAGAATGTGAGGATACAGAACATGGATCCTTATGTTTGAGATATATCAAGTGTGGGAATACTGTCTGGGAAAAACCAAGACCTTTCAATTCCACCGCCTAGTAGGAGGCCTCCAGAACTACATCTGAGATTTCAGGTTCTCTGCAAAAAAATATAACACTTGGAAAGGAAGATATTATGAATGCTATACTACTAGTGGTCTGAATTTCATGTGTTTGGAATGGATTAATGCAGTCAAGTAGGTGTTCAAATTTAGACACAAAGATGCTGCCCTTCCATTCGGATTTCAAAAGTGCATGACTAAGATGGATCAACTGTTTTTCCAAGGGTCAAAATATTCCTTGATATTCAAGTCAGCCTTTGGAAAATAAAGAGAACCATATCCTCTATTCAGAGAGCAGAAATTTAAATATAAAGGAGTTGTCTCAAATTCTGAGTGCTTAGGAGGTAAAGAAGACATGACATTCCCATGGTCAATACATCACCTATTACATGTGGAAATCTGAGTTAGATATAGGCATGCTGAATGCATAGAATGTATGAAGTCAGATGGGCCTGATACTGCAACATCTTATACAAACCCAAACTTTGCAACTCCCCTCATACAAACCCAAACTTTGCAACTCCCCTCATACAAACCCAAACTTTGCAACTCCCCTCATACAAACCCAAACTTTGCAACTCCCCTCATACAAACCCAAACTTTGCAACTCCCCTCATACAAACCCAAACTTTGCAACTCCCCTCATACAAACCCAAACTTTGCAACTCCCCTCATACAAACCCAAACTTTGCAACTCCCTCAAGTAAATTGCCTACATAAAATCTGGTTCATTGTCAATAGGTATAGAATACAAAAGTCATATGAGAAAAGAAATTTAAGATAAAACTACATCCAAATGTTTCTGCCCTAAGCAATATTTTATTCTTATTAATCACCTGGTATCATTAATGTCTTTAAACACTTTTACAGCACAGAAAGACCATCTCTGGTCTTCCATACATACCTTTCCATAATGCCTTTCACATCCTAAGGAGGAAAGAGACACTATAAGTCATGAAGTAATAAGCTCTTTCACTAACAAAACTTCAACACATCTCCCCTCTCCACCCCCCAGATCTGGTGGGAATAGAGATGGTCCAAATGTGAGAGCAGGTTAATATAATGCCTAGTAAAGAAACCACAGGAACCAGTAACTTAAGATATTTACTATGTAAATTACTTTTCAACAAACAAATTACCTCCTCTTTTATACACCT